GACACTGACTTTGACACTGTCACATCTGCATCCACCACCGATTTGGGTTCACGTGGAATTAGTTGAATGCAGTGAGATGAGCACAACGATTTGCAAACTTTTTTTGATGCCTGAGGGATGAATGTTTGGAATCATTTAATTTTTTTACGTCTTCGTTCTTTTTGTTATTCTTTATTGTTTGAATGTCTTCTGATCCTGTTGATGAATGTTATTTTAGCCGGAGATTTAAGTCGCTTTCAGTCTGTCTTCTCTACGCCTAAGGTTGCCTTCGTGACGATATTTTTGCATCTGAATTCGTCAACTCTTTGTTGATTTCCTGTTAACCATTTTTTATTTGTGTGCGTACTCGACTACCTACAACCTGGAATTCGTTATCTATTGGTATATATGCATGTTTTGCTAAATGCTTCATTTCCTACTCATCTTTAGACATTTGAACAGATTAATCTTCCTTCCTATAAGTTTACTGTTATGTAACTGATACTTAATTCCAGCAATACACGGTGTATGAATTCACATCCCAGAAGTCAACGTGTAGAAATCATTTTGAATCTCGATTCGTTACGAATTCGCTGGCTTCCATCTATTTCTTTCCACACCTTCATCAAGTGTTAACGTTCACGGCACACACACAATTCCCTCTCATTTCCACTTTCATCGAATGCATAGTCTGCTTCAGAATTTCAATATTGCCCATCTCATCCATTGTGTGCTCGGTTTCATTCATCCGTATAGTCTAAAATACAAGCCTTCAACAGAAGAACGAGTGGTTACTCCTTCACATTACTTATATTGTATTGACAAATGATGAGTTTCTCTGTGTAAACTTCAATTCGTTTCCAGAGAATTCAGAAGTCACACCGTCACAGAAAGTTGCAGGGAAATATGAAGCTGCATACCTAGCAGGTACGATTGAATATTTGACGTTGCATGATGACATTTGAATTATCTAACCATATTGTAACATGCTAGGTTTTCGAAATATGGAGACAATTGCGTTTGATGGTTTATTTTATAGTAGAGTTTCGTGAACTTGATAAGGACTAAGGAGGAAGAATGCGTGATGAATGAGGTGTTTGGCTGAGAGGAAGGCTGCATACATCAATGGAGTAAGACACCTTTCTCTTAGTTACGTGCAAACAATCAGATGTTCGTGCATCATCTTTTTCTGTGTGTGGTGTCACACGAGTGGTGTTCACATGTGTGTAGACATTTGAACACTCACCTGTGTCATACACTTTCGTCATACGAATCCTGCCTTGTTGCGAACGTCGCGATTTTTGTTGTTTTTTTCATTCAGGATATGAGGTGTGTTTGTGAGCATATACGTTCCTACTGTGGAGTCACTGACACTGTATGGTGGTAAGTGCATTGGTGACACTGAGTATAATAGGTGCAACGAATACTTGTCAAGGAAGTATTTTTGAAGTTTTCAATAGCTTGGGGACGGATGGCAAGCTTTTATTGGGAGGAGGAATGTTCAATTTTTATTCGTAGATTGATTATTCAGTGGAAAGGAACCGATTTTGTGTTATCTGGTCTTGAATGCTTCCCCAGTTTTGCTGAGTATTTTGTAGTTTGGTCACTGAGTGCAATCGGCAAAGGAACAAATTCGGTGAAAGGTTTTCCTTCAGTTTTTATTCACATTAACGTGAAGTGCAAGTGTGCATTTCGAGAAGGAATGAGTACTCAGCACCCACTCTGTTGGGCATGTTCTTACTCAGTTACGTGATCCAATCGAAAGTGATGCCTTACCGAGGAACTGATTTTGTCTGATGGTAGGTTATATGGATTTGGTGTTGTCGGTTACCTCATTTCTTCCTGACTTGACCAGTGTTCTTTGCCTGAGTTCCAGCTTATATACATTCATATGTATTTATGTAACGTTGTCAGTCTGCTCAGTCAATATTTAGGATGCCGCGCAACATCTCACAATGATTTTTTGTTTAAAGCACCCAGTATCTGTTAAACGAATCCATTGGCAGATTTACTATTAAACTAAAAGTGATGCTTTGTTGAACTGCATAATATTATAAGCAGATAGGAAATATAATTATTTGACATGCAGAATTCTAACAACTGTCACTTCATCATCAGCTTATCTACTGCGCTAATCATTATTATTATCATTTGTCCATTGGGTTCCTAATGGAACATAGGGCTTCAGTAGCTGGTCTCCAGTACACTCTGATCTCTGCAAACTTTTGAAAATGGTTTTACGACAGCTTAGAAGCTCTCATTTCCTCCTCGTACCATCTCCTGCATGTCACCCAAGGACTCCCAACTCATCGCTTCCCATCATCTTGGTTCCACTCAAGGACCTGACCTGGCTCCCGATATCCCCGAATGGTCTTCTCAGTGCATGCCCTATCCATCTCCACTCCCTTCTGCATATTTCTTCAGCGATAGCTTCTTGCTTCGTTGGTTCCTTGCCAGATTGATTTCCTAGTTGCTCATTCTCTCTGGCCATCTGATCTCATCTTCAGTAAGGAGCCAGCGTAGGCAGTCGTTGATGAATGTCTGTAGTTCGTTGGAAATCCCTTTCGTAACGCGCCAAGTCTCTGAGCCATACAGTAGCACTGACTTGACTGACGTTGGTGTAGAAAATAAGAATCTCGTTGACACTTTATGCTGAGTGCACAAGATCTCCACATTGGTTTCAGGCTAATGAATGCCTGTCTTGCTTGCTTGTGCGATCCTGACTGGCATTGACGTCGTCGTCTGTGCCACCGCCTGTAGTTGAAATGATGCTGCCTCGATAGGTGAGAGGGGCTACTTCCTTCACGTTTCTCCCGTTGATGGTGACTGGAGCTTCGTGTTGTCGTCGTTGCTGTTGGTGATGGTGGTGGTGATGTTGTTGACTGGGTATCTTCATCACCCCTCTCTTCTCGACATTCATCTGAAGGAAGTCCCGTCTTCATGGCCCTGCTCTGCCCTCCCTGGCCCTGCCTCTTCTGTCAACTTGTTAGTCTTCATCTGTAGATCTTCATGTTTGTGTGACATTAGACACAAGTTATCGGCAAAATCCAAATCTTCTGCGATCGTCTCCCCGGTCCAGCATATCCACCTCTTCTCACTCCCCACTCTCTCTTGCATGATCCAGTCCACTACAATCAGGAATATCATGCGTGATTGTAGCTGGCAGCCTTGTTTCACTCCTGTCTTCACTTCAAAAGCGCCACTGAGCTCCCCATTATGAATCAATTGGCATGTCACCTCTTCATATGGCTATCGAGTGATGTTGATAAAGGTTTGCGGCATTCCGTAGTGTTGAAGCAGCTGCCTGCCAAATTACTTCTCGGTCGACGCTGTCAAAAGCCTTCTCAAAGTCGATGAAGTTGAGGTAGAGTGAGAGTTGACTGCCATTCTATGCTCTGTTCTATGATGCTGCGCAGTGTGGCGTTGCAATTTGGTCTGCACAAGATTTGTACTTCGTGAAGCCAGCCAGCTAGCCTGTTCCGGTGGTAGTTTTGAATCCAGCATATCTTTCAGTCTCTCCAGGATGATGCTACTTAATATTTTGCCTGCTTTTGGTGGACAGCAGCAGCATGATTCCGTGCCAGTTCTTGCAAAGACTTAGGTCGCGCTTCTTCGGCAGTTTCACCAGGTATCCCTTCAATCTTCCCATCAATCGTCAGGTACCTTCCCTTCCTTCCAGACCTTCTGCAATGGTGGTGTCAGCATATCCTATGCTGTTGTCTCTGCGTCTGCTCTCAGTGCTTCTGGTGGGATTCCATCTGGTCCTCCTGCTCTCCCGCACTTCAGTAGCTTTATGGCGCTCAGGACTTCGACTTTTGTTGGGGGATTTGTGTTCACTTGTAGGTGTGTGGCTGGGCTGCTGGTGGTATTTCTGGACGAAGTGTAGGTGGTGGTGGTGGTGGTGGTCGATTCAAGAGCTTCTTCAAGTGGTCAGCCCATCGTTTCCTTTCTTTCCCTTCTTTGGTGATTAGGTTCCCTCCATCATCTTGTATTGGTTTCATCTGTTTTGATCTCTTCCCTCTCCTCAGATAGTAACCCGGTTATTTGATACAATGTTGTCAGGTCTCTGTCTCTCCTACCTGCAGCCTGTTCTGCTTCACTTGCCAATGTGTCGTGGAAGTGTCTTTTCTATTTCCCTGCACTCTTCTTCACTTCTTTGCACACTGCTGTGTTTTATTCATTGTAATCAGTTCCCTTCTCGTCGTTGAGCATCCTTGCACTGGTTTATCCTCTGCTCCACCATCCTCCTCGCCTTACTCTATCAGCTTCCATGTATCCATCGAGATCCATTCCCTATCTTCTTTCTTCTTCCTTCCTAATACGGTTGTGCAGGTTTCTTTCCATATGGCTTTCAAAGAGTTTCAGTGCTCATCCACACAGGTTTCTTCACGGATGCTGCTCGATATCTCTCATTTTCTCTTGATGACTGACGTGAAGATGTCCTATCTAGTTTCATCCCTCAGTTTCTCGTCTGAGTGTTGAACTTGAACTGTGGTCTATCACCACCAGCTTGTTTGATGGCTTTCAACTCGATTTGAAAGGTAGGTTCCTTGCACTAGACAGTGACTGGTCTGAGCCTACATCTTCTCCTCTTCTTCATCTTGTGTCAAGTTGGCTGCGTCTCCACTTTCTCGAGATTTGCACAATGTCGATCTGATTCTCAGTGTAGTGTGTCCATCTGGTGAAATCCAAACCATGTCGCTTTGTGGATATCCTTGTGCTTGGACACAGTGCCTCACCTCCAATAACCAAATCGTTGAATGCACAGAATTCTGCAAACAATTCTCCATTCTCGTTGATCACCTCACTGAGTGCTTCTCGACCCATGGTTAGTTCTCTTCCTGTGCTGTCCACTCCCAATTTCTCATTCACGTCGCCCATTAGAATTTTGATGTCGCCAACTGGGGTAGGATGTTGTCCAGTGTTGATTTCAGCAGTTGTCTGTAGAATTCCTCCTTCTTCTCTTCATCTGCATTATTTGTGGGTGAGTAGAGTGGCATTGAATGATTGTGACTTTCCTTCCTTTTGAGTTGAACCTTGCTGTTGTGATCCTGGAGGAGATTGCTTCCCACTGTATGAGAGCCTTTGATGCTGTTGGGGGCATCATGGTAACCACTCCCTCAGTGTGCTCCTGGTTATCGTCTGGGTAACAGTATCGGAGTAGATTATTGACTCTCAAGCTGACAGTTTGGAGAGTCCACTCCCATTCCATCTGCTTTCGCAGATTCCTAGCACTTAAATGTGATACCTTCTCATATCCTGCGCAATCTGGGCAGCATCGATAGGTTCAAACATGGTCTGGACATTCCATGTACACACGTTTACTTCCGCTTTATCGAGAGAGGACACATCGGCCGACTGGCTACTGGAAGGCTTTCACCAACCGGCGTCATTTCGTCTTTCCGATTCCAGCGAGGAATAAGTTTGTTTTTATGTTTTATATTTTGTCTGTGCTTTGAAGTTTCCATAGCGGTTGGATTGGTTTTACGGGGTAGGGTTGCTAGCTTTATGCCAAAACTTCCCTCTTTACCCGGGCTTAAGACCGGCTAGTAACTAGTGAACTAGTTAACCAGGCGAGGTTGGCTTTATCATGTTTCCATGTATGCATTGCTTTCATTCGTTTACATATATTTATTAGGTAATGTCGTTTTCATGTAACACGTTCTATGGAATGCACTAAGCAGCTGCCATCAAGTGACATTCCTCTACTCAGCTTGTAAGGCAATACTCTTGCTTTCTGTATAGATGACAAAGAAACAAAGTTCTGGTTAATTCAGGAAAGAACGAACAAACTTGTATTCGGATGGTCTCCATTTCATCAAGACAATATCGACGAGCTGGTTTTGGAACAGAATGTTGACTGGGGTTTTGACATCACTACTTCTGTTAGAAGAAACGCATCCAGTGGAGATATGCATGTCATCGGGAAAGCCTGTGAATTTGAACAATTCAGCATTGTAGGCATGGATGTGGGTTTTATTTATAATTCCGTCGTTGACCACCGGAGCTTAACGTACGAACGCGGTGAGTTATATTTATGGCGATTACAAAAAATTTAAGTTGCACTTTGTATCTGAACTGTGTCTAATGTCCCTTTTTTCAGGTTATTAATTCTAGGATGATTTGTCATGCTTACAGCCTAATGGTTTTTGGAATATATGATATGTTTTGACTTGACTGTCCTCAGAAATCCTATCTGTTTCAGTTCCTTTACTTTGTGAAATGTCTGTAATTCTTGTTATTTTAAAGCATAACATATATCAGATGTCTCAGTAATTGTGCTATTATTTCACTTAATAGTTACCAGAATAAACAGCGTTAATATCTCTTTCTCGCCGGAATCACCTCCATATTTGACGTGGGAAAAGGAAGCAAAGTCTTGTTCAGAAAGTGATCTTATTATTATCTTCAGAGGAAATTCTAACCAACCTCTTGAGATGCACTTCATATCAGATAGTGACAAGAAGTTTTATTTGAGAAACAAAGAGGGAAGTGATGAGGGACGAGAAGGTGAAGAAGTACTAGTGACCACTTTACATGGGAAATACTTTTCTCTTCCTAAACTGGGTGAGTGAGTTTTATATCCTAATAAATATTTGAAAAGTATCTCCTTTTATATGTTTCCATAGATATAAACCATAATACATTTTACGCTAGCATGTTACAAATCTGTCATTTATTATTGTAACTTCAATCACACCTCATCATAACTGATCACATCGCAGTTATTCTTAGATTAAACAACGGCAATTTCATGCAATCGTATATGCCTATTCGTTCACAATAACAAGCAACCCATGTATAGATACTTGTCTACTATGTAACATTATGACTTACATAATCTATCACCAGTGGTATCATGATTTTATCTACTTCTATGCGAATATATAGCTAACTAAAAACTAAACCATTCTTCTTTGATTAAAACCCTATCCAAAAACAGTGAAAGTATTTTTCATATGAAACTGATAATGAAAGATATTTACAGGGGATAATTTTATTACCATCCGTAACTGAGCTTGACGTTATGACTAAAACATTTATGAGGTTGGTAAAATTCATGTTACGCTTCTATATTAAAAAAACTCTCAGTGCTAAATTTAGATGGACTGATATAAATGTGAAATAAGGTACAAACTTGTCAACATATTTTGAAACTTTCTTGACTTTTATATCAAAGACTGTTGTGTTTCACTTTTCGTCCATGATAACTCCCGTGAATTCTCTGCTCAATGATGAATCCCTAGTTGGTTTATGAAAAAAGAAATAGATACGCTACATAAATTACAAGAAGTGATAAGTTGTATAAATAGGCATCCTGTCTGTATTTCCTTCACTATACATTTCACTTGCCTTCTGTTCTGATTAGTTGAGAATCAGGACCAACAACTCTGTTGGTCACATTTGCCTTCAAATGTTTCACCACGAGTAATGTTAAATCCATGGCTTAGTTTTAATTTTAATAAATTCCATGAAACTTAAGTCATATGGTACAGTTGGTAGACTGACTTAACACTTTCAACAGATCTTAAAATTTATTCTGTTGAAATATCAAAGATAAGTCGATGCTTCTTGAATGCATATGCTTTATCTCTTCAGCACACAGATTCGCTTGTTAGTCTTAGAGGAACTGTTCGAAGTTTGTACGCCCTCCTCACGTTTTAAAGCATCAGTTTATAAAATCAGTGTAACTCGATTGTTCGAAATGGGGCCTGAGGGCGAAGTCGTACAGCTACTAGCCGGATGGGGCGCGACAGCAGTAAGGTGTTTCCCTTGGATAACCAGCAGTGTCACTCTGGTGCTTCCTTCTCAACTGACGTGGGGTTTGGAAAAGCTCGACCCCAAAAATAATACAGTCTGTCATGCCCCACGGTCTCCCGGTGCTGGAGGTATAGGTTTTTATCTATCCAGCGTTAGAACAACCAAGCCTCAAAACTACAACCCACAAGAGGTAGTGTGTGACAGGCCTAAATCAGATGTCCTATGGGCTCTGTGGTCACACCAATTGTTTTCCTTTTTAGGTATCTTGAGAGGTAATAGCCTTTCAGTATCTGGGCAGGCGAGAGGCGTCAACGCCGTCACAACATTTTCAGCGCTCAAGTCCCCTCAGACCACTATCCACTCCCCCCATCCTTACCTTTTAATATTCCTTTACTTCTGTCAGCCAACAATCCTACATTATTTTTAATTTCCTTTAGCCATGTAGCTTCCGATAACGATCTGAGTCCACACAACAGCATCCTTAGTCTCCATGAACCGCTCTCACAGTTACGCACTGAAACCTTCAATATCTGCACTCTTAGTCGAAATAGCCAATAAGCTTCATTGAGCAAAAGTCTAGCAACTCGGAACATGAATGTGTGCTGTATTTGTGAGGCACATATACACGACCTAAGTGAGGTTATTCACTTAACCTCTCCCAGTCAGTATGGCGAATCCGCAAAATTCACCCTTCGAGTTTCTGGAGATTCGATAGCTAGTTCTCATGGTCTTGCAGGTGTAGGCATATCATTAAGCATTAGAGTAGAAAGCTCACTAATAGACTAGATCCCGGTTGACAGTCACTAATGCTCCATCTAGTTAAACGGCACTATGAGAACTGAAAAAAAAGTAAAACTTGCTATTGTCTCTCCATAATCTCTGCTTGCGCATCCTCTGACTGCATTTCCGTTGAAGCTACGGGTAAGTCCCAACGAAAACTACTAAGCCTTCTCCTGAAAGTCAAAGGTTCAGACATAAAGAAAGACATTGTATAATGTGGTGTCCATCGACCTCAACTCAGCGATGGACGCAGATAGACCGCATTGTCATCCGTCATCGCTGGAGAGGGTTGGTGGAAGACTGCCGCTCTTTTGGAGTACGTGTTTGGATAGCGACTACGCGTTGATCCGAGCGCGTATATGCCTATGTCTCAATAGACGTAGAAAGGCTTTAGCAATAAGACCATTATGAGTGTCGCTGGGCAATGAGAGAACTTAGTCCATTTTCAGTGGGAAACTGATCACGGAGTTGTCGGAACAGAAGACTATCACTCATCCAGAAGAAACCCGGCGCCATCTCCAGTTTGCTGTTAAAATAGCTTTGAAGATCGTAGCCGATTTTCATAGGGTGGTTAAAAAGGCCAGTGGATATCAGCACGTGAACGCATCCCTTCAGGCTCTGAGTACAATCATGAGTGAAGGCAGCTTAAATGTAGACTACAGAGAAGTCTACACAGTGATCATAAACGCTGGTCGACAGCGAAGGCTAAAAAGATGGGAAAGGTTGCGGTGACAGCTAAGAGTAGACAGTTATTCAGAATTTTTAAGGAAACTGAAACGGAAAGGTACACGATTAGTGAAACTTTAGTGGGATAGGTTGGGTCTGCGATTCATTCTCAGGACAGAAGACTGCAGTGATGGGGAGGTTACTTCGAGGAACAGTTGGCCTGCAGGTTCTATGACATGTCCTGCTTTCCAGTCGGATGATGAATTAAACATTGAAGTGTCCCCGCCAAACCCCAACACTTGCAGAGGTCATAAAAGCGGTAGGTAACTTAAAAAGAGGAAGGGCAGGAGGATTAGACGGACTTGTTTCTGAGGTAATATAAAAACGGTGGTAGAATATTTTCAGCCAAGCAAACTGAAGTGTTAACTAGTGTATGGGAGTTTCAATCACGGATTATCGCAGTCTTCAGGAAAGGTGAGAACTCCTCTTGTGATAATCACAGAGGAATCGCCCTGACGAGCATAGGGTCTACGATTCTAGATATTATAATCATTAGAAGTCTGAACGGATCTTGGGAATGGCACACCAGATAAAACCAGGCAGGCTTGATACTTAGATTCGGGTGTATCGATCAAATATTCACACACCGACAGGTTCTGGAACACTGGTACGCTTACTGACGCTTGACAACGGCTTTATTTCTTGACCTGAATGTGGTAATTCACTCTGTTGGCAATATCGCTCATTGAAAAGGGTACTAAATAATTACATCACTTCATTGAAGGCTCTTTACTAGAACATCTGTTGGCATGTTACAGTACATGGTGAGATAACCGGTGAGCTGTGAACTTTGATTAGTGTCTGTAAAAGATGCTCACTCTCTCCACTCTTATTCAATTTTATCATAGACGTTCTTATGAAGGTTTCACTCTCGTTTCCTGTCTACAAAAGGACTGACCTAATCACAGGAGAATCCTTGGAAGACCTAGATTATGCAGATGACATAGTCCTGTTAGTTAAAGACGCTGACAAAGTGCAGAGTCTTCTGGACACCTTGAGTGGCAATTTAAGAATGTTTGGGATGTGTTTCTCGCCACACAACTGCAAACTGTTGCCCCAAGACTCGTCTTTAACGATACTGCGGCTAAGAATAGGGAGTGAAGTGGTTGAGTGCATTAAACACTTCAGTTACTTGAGAAGTTGGATCAGCCCTGGCAGCTTGGTGGCAGACGAAATCTCTGCATGGATGCAAAGGCTAGGTTCCCTTTCACCAACTTACGCCATCTGTGTACCGTATTGCACTTCGCTCTGTTCTACACTACGGCAGCGAAACATGTCCATAAAAGGTCGAAGACATGAGAAGGCTTCAACTGTTTGATCACCGTTGCCTTCGTAGCATAGTCCGTGCTTCTTGGTGTCACCACGTGGGTCACGCAGAAGTGAGGTGTAGAGTTTTAGGGAAGAGAAGTAAGATAGTCTATATGGTAAGGAACCTTCATGTGTTACGCATGCCTAATCACCGTCTACCTCGTTACACAACGTTGGCTGAAGTAGGTTCAGCCTGAAGAAAGGCTCGGGGTGTCCAAACTAAAACATGGCATCAATGCATGAAATCCCCACCTGTTCGGTTGAGCCATGTGGGGCGGTGCAAAATAGCCGATTGGGGTCCAAGGGACAGAAACCAGTGGTTGCAGACTCTATGTGGTATGGATCAGAACCAGTGACAGGGGCGCAGATATATACACATATTATCCTCATCTTGACAGCTATACTTAATCTCATCATTTACTCATTCTTCCTTCCTCACTTTTACTACTTTCTACTCCTTTTGACCAATTTTTATCTCCTTCTTCATCTTCCATTTCATTGCCTTGTCACTTGGTGTGCTTATATGAAGTGTGGCAACTCGGACCATTACGCAGTAATGATATGTACTTTCACTTATGACTGAAGAAGGTGTGGCAGAATATAACTTCTAGTTATTCACAAGCGTCATAATAATCTGGTTACTTGGCGGCTGACTGTTCAAAATTTCTCTAAATTCACAAACTGTAGATATAACTATGTGGTCAAATGGTTGTTTGTTTGCCAAATATGTAGTTCCAATGTATTTCAAGGTGAAAAATGACCAGCTTATCAAGATGCTGAATGGATGGTCAATGTTTAGCCTGACAACACCCAAGTCAAACGCATCAGCAGGTTGATAGCATTATTTGGAGCTTCATTTTGGTTTCAATGTACCACTAGTTATGTGTGAGCTATCAGCAAAATCTCAATTAATTGACTCTTCTCGATTAAGATGTGAATGAAGAATTAACCTAGAGACAAGAATCTTAGTTGGGTGTAAATTAACCACCTGGAGTGAAATTCCACTTTGTCAAACCAGAGTGACTTTAAAGGGCACCCTAGCAACTGACGAAGTAACCAATCATGTCTCTCTTTTCTATGAAAAATGGTCTTTCCATACAAAATACCGCAACCTAACAGGTTACGTTGCCAATTGCTAGGGTAACCTTTAAAGTGGTCCTCAAACCGCATGAAGTGGAGTATTTCATTCTGGTATCTATTTAAAATCCCTAGACTTAGTGTTGACTCAGAGAAACCAAAGTTCGTAGGATTGTAACTATGGTAGGTATATGATGTTCATGCTAACTGAAAATAATAAAAGCCGTCCTCCACATACCATATATCTAGAAATTTCAGTTCATAAACTCAATATTCGTATGAATTCATATCCAACATATAACTCGCATTACTAGTGATGAAAACCTACACCAGGATATTTACCTTCCAATTTTATTATCAAATGAAAGCCAGCGATTGAAAAGGGATGTAGATACAAGGCCTCAATTCAAACATTCATCATTAGTAAACCTTAAGTGGATTTTGATTTTATTCCTGGACATCGTCACCAATAACATTGAAGTGGAGTGTAGAAATATAACACGCCAAAAAATAATTCTCAGAACTTTCACCAATAATCAATTGACACAATATCATATGGACTTGTGCGTAAATCACCACAAATTCATCTCAACGGAATTATGAATGTATATTATTTTTCAATGGAATAAAAATCTTCATTTTTAGTACTTAGAAAGGAGAATAGTACATCACAAGTCATACAAAAGGGAACAGGTGAGTCTTTCATGTTGCCAACTTACAAGATGAACATGTATTTCACTTTCAAACGATAACTGCAGATGAAGACTATGAGAGGTCATAGTACCTAGACGAACTACGGGAATTCAAAGCAGTTCGTAATATATGAATAATTCTAGGTGATGTGTTTGATCACACCAAACATCGTTCACAAAATTAATAGTTTGTCGATAGCTAGGTGCTTTGATATTGTCGACAAACGCCCAGAAGACATGGCGTGTCATCACAATAGCGGTAACATGAGGTGAGATGAGAGATAAGTTAGAGGATGGCCGATGAGATGCTTTGGTAGTCGACGTAGTATCTTTTTATTTTAAACAACCTTTAAATCCTTTAGTGAAGCATGAGATGCTGGAGAATATAACGAGCTTATCTACATGTTAACAGCAGTTGACGTATTCTAATGACACTCTGCCTGGTTTGCATCATCTTTTGAAGGTATCTAAGCCATCATAACTTTCTAGTGTTCTTGATTTGTATGAGAAGAGGCAATTTCGTATGTCAAATCATACTGTTCTTCATCATATTCACTTTTGTGTATTGACATTATATTGTTTTATATATCCATCACAGAATTATTTTTTGCTTTTCTTCCTTAAGCCTCTAAAACGATGAAGTCTCTTCAATAGCCTGCAATACATGAATTATAGGAAGGTTTGTTTCTACGATTTTTCTAATGTATTGTGAATCACTAACTTTCTATATTCAATTAACACACTGATTTTGCCTAGAGGATTTTGTATCTTATATTTTTCTGAGTCTTGCTATAGTCATGTTACGCTAGTTTCTGACACTGGCATACACTACATCAGCCGCAGGATGCTTCTGCGTATTTTTCAATTCAACTCAAACTTCTTAGTTTGTTCACCTATAAAATTTATAGTTTCCAAGCTCTTTAATGATTTAACAACTACATAACCATTTTTTTGTAGAATGATTTTATGCAACTAAGCTTTTTCTCAACTACTGAGTTGTTATAACATTTGTATTTCTCCGAGTGCATAGCTACATTATTAGGTTGGACTATATCTACTAACCTGTAATAGTTGATTTCTCTATTCATTTTCTGAGGCTTAGTAAATAAAAAGATGAACCACATTTACTATGAAACTCAGTCACGTTGTATGATATGTGACAAAAATTAATGAGTATTTCTAAACATGCTTACTTCATAGTAGCCCTAAAAATTCATAAGTTTCTTTGTTTTTACAGCTTCTGAAGCACCTATGAAGGCCCATACATACACGCCGATAATTGTTGGTAAGTCCATGATCAATGTCTAAGCTGTTAATGAAGTATCATCAGCTTTTTCTTCTCACGAAAGGTCATTGTATACAATCTTTAAGTATACCTTTAGTTGGTAACTTGCAATTTGACTGCAGAAATGTAAATGACGCCTTATGGCTTTTGCTTATGGAAGACTATTTCTGACTGCTTCATTAGAAATATTCCCATTAATTTTATGATTCTTTTTGTTCCAATACGATTCTTCAAATTGCACATTCAGTTATACAATGAGGTGTATTGTTCCATACAACGAGAAGTTTGAATCTGATTGGCTGGTGATCTCATGTTATTTTTTTTCTCTTGAATGGATAAAATGCATAAGGCAGAAAATGCAAGTTATATTAAACGACAAAGTAGCTGCCGATTGAAAGGATAATCTGCTAGTCATATATATAGGCTGTAAATAGTTCCTTAGGTCAGTACATTTTATCAGGTTGCTTTCAGTAAAAAGGCTTTTATATGTAAAAAGTTAAAAATTAATTCGATATCCAGATGTGACTATGAAGCTGAGTCTAATTCCAGTGCCGTACACATTCATGGCTATGCTGTTTCCCCTGTGTAGATTCGCAGCGATGAAACTTAACTCTGAATGTTCACTACGTTACGATACAGGACAACCAACCTCTTCATGCATACTTACCTGTTTTGAACCTTCATTGCTCTGATAACAAGAGTCACTTAATGAATATTTTTCTTCAACAAGTCTGTCACGAAATATTGAAGTATCCACAGGAAATGAGTCATGTATCCAGCAGCTGTCATTCGACTTCTGGAAAAGAATACTGACGAAATCCTACTGTACATATCTCTTCCTAGCAGAAAATGATGTAACATTTGACATCGATTTAAGTTGTAATCAGTTTGCTAAAGGTGTAAATAAGTGACACGGAACCTCAATAGGGTCTTTTATTCTGTTACAGACCTTCATCACCCAATGCAATGCTGTTTAGTTTATATCAGCACTAACTTTAAGCGCTCATATCAAAACCTCGTAGACTGTCAGTAACAGTATGACAGAGATTGAACATTTAGGTGTTGTGCATTTACATGATAAAATCGGGCCACCATCTGAATCTTTTTTTAAGCACCACAGGTGGTTTGTAATCCTTTTACATACTGCCTCCTGTAGCTGATTCCAGGATTTAGAAGGGTGAAAATGATGTGAATTAGCTTTTCATTTTACTCATCATAACACGAAAGCTTCTGATTACTTCATGACTGCATCGTTTCTAGTAGTAGGTTGCGGCAAATGCATCAGAATGGTCATTTTTACTCTCAAGTGCCTTATCTCGACGCAAAGAGCCGAAGATTAGATTCGATGGTTTAGTTTGAGTTTACCTTTTTCTTAATAAGAGATTTGTACCCAGTTACCTTCATTATTATCAGTTCTACGGATATTAGATCAGTCGGTGGGTTGTCGGGCTGGCAATCTGTACGCCACATGATTCAATTGGCTCTTGACTTAGGCCTTCATCTCAATTTCGATCATCAGTTTTTTCAAATAGCATTCACGTCGTACTTTACCTTCCTTCCTCATGGCAAAGTTAGTTAAGCCATTAGCCGTCGTAGACTTGAAAACCAGAGTCCTGAATTTAAAAATTGTAACTGTTCTTCTCATGAAATCCACTGAAATATGAAACCAATTCTAAATGGAGAAAGCGTGCTGAACATATTTGCTTGCCATGGCATACATTATGGTACTGAAAACAGACGCAGAGACAACAGCAGCGGACATGCTCACACCACTACTACAGAGGGTTTGGAAAGAAGGAAAGGTAGCTGCCGATTGGAAGAAGGGCTACCTTGTCTAACTCGAAGTCTTTGCAAGAAATGGCGAGGAATCATGCTGCTGTCCATCCAAAGCAAGCAAAATATTAAGCCGCATCATCTTGGAGACACTGGAAAATGCATTGGATTCGAAATTACGACAGGAACAGGTTGGCTGGATTCAGGAAGTACAAATCGTGTGCAGATCAAACTGTAACGCTACGTATCATCATAGAACACAGCATAGAATGGCAGTCATCGACTTTGTAAAGGCCCTGGTTGGCGCCGACTGAGGAGTCATTTGGCGACTGCTTCAACACTACGGCTTTTGTGCCACAAACCTTTATCAACACCATTCAACAGTTATATGATGACGTCAAATGGCAAGTGATTCATAATGGAAAGCTCAGTGATCCCTTTGATGTGAAGACAGGAGTAAAGCGAGGCTGCGCCTACCATCACCAATGATCTTCCTGATTGTGGTCGACTATACTGGATCATGTGAAAAGCTGTGAGGGGTGAGAAGAGGGGCATACGCTGTTTGACTGATGAGGAGACCCCAGAAGAAGATTTGGATTTCGCCAACGATGATTTATGTTTAATATGACGAAAACTCGAAGACCTACTGGCGAAAGCCAACAAGTTGACAGAAGTGGCTAGGCAGCGAAGACAGGACTTCTTTCAGGTGAACGTAGAGAAGACGGAGGTGATGAAGATACCCAACTAACAACAACAAGCACGAATCACCATGATAGGGAGAAACCTAAAGGAAGTTGTCTCTTCCATCCACCTAGACAGCATCATTTAAACTACAGGTGCCACAGATGAGACGTCAAGGCCAGGATCGAAGAAGTAGGACAGGTCCTCAATAACCTGAAATCAGTGTGGAGATCTGCTGCACTGCACTGCACTGCACTGCACTCCACTGCACTCCACTGCACTCCACTGCACTCCACTCCACTCAGCATAAAGAACAAGATCTGGATTTTCAACACTAATTCAGTCAAGTCAGTGTTTCATGTGATGGTTGAGAGAGTTGGTGCGTTACGAAAAGCATTTTCAACAAACTACAGTCATGGATTAATAGTTCCCGCCTACGCTGGCTCGATACTGAAGATCATATGGCCGGAAAGAATAAGCAAGAAGAAACTCTGGCGTGAAGACGAACCAACCAAGATGCCATCACCCAACAAATGTGCAGAGGAAAGTAGAGATGGATTGGGCATATACTGAGAAGACCGTTTGGGGACATCACGCAGTAGGCCAGGTCATCGAGATTAACCCAAAATAACAATAATAACAATCATGTGTCCAGAAGGGGAATTTCACAATGAAGTCATGGAAGTATCCAGCAATGCAGAAACGTGGTAAAACAGTCAACATATAATAAAGTCGGAAAGAAATGAAACTCGACATACACATCTGCTCACACTTCTATACCTTTTCCTCTTGAAGTATCTGAAGTTGTTTTATTCAAATGAAGTGTACTGAACTACGTTTGCAACATTATTTTGACTTGATAGTAGATTGATGAAGGAAACGTTGATGCAAACCAGTAGTTGGGTTATTGTTTCTACTAGCTGCATGCTTATTACATGAGATTACTTCAATTCATAACGACATTATATGTGAAGGCGATAGACATGATTATATATATATATATATATATATATATATATATATATATATATATATATATATATATATATATATCCAAGTAAAAATGGGTTAGTTGGTTTCTCCCACTTCAAATAGATTGCTCCAAAAGATTTCAAAGTATATTATTTGGAAAGCACCATTTCATTTGCAAATGGATACCTCACATATCCGGCAATCAGAATAAAGTTATCCTATATGGTGGTTAGTATTGTTCCTTTTTGAAGAATGTAACGTATCAAATGCTAAATACAGAATCATCTTCCTCCTAATAACTAGTTCCGCTCAGTTAAACTATCCTAATAATTTATCATTTCTTTCTTTTCCCCAGGTGTTCTCGTACTATTTTTTATTTTGCTGATTTCTCTGATTCGTCACAAAAAATTTTGTCATTACAAATAATTAGAAAAACATTAATACCTTTTGTACCCTCTTTTCTCGCTTAACACCAGATTGAGTTCAACAAATCATTCGACAGTCTTTTTATATAATTGACAATGAGTGAAGGGTTAGTAGTTGGATTGAGTTGTCATAGGTTAGTTTACAAAATTTAAACACAGACTTCTGCAGAAACTTTCATCATATTAAAGACTAGACGGGTCAGTCGACTAAGCGGGATAATATCAGTTGTCTAAAATAACTAGTGCTCACTGGTGACTTGCTGCCAAATGGATTTCTTGAAGTTCTAATGAGAAGTTGACCAAGTAAAGTGTAAGGACAAGCAGTTGTCAGTGGCACTGGATGATTGTTTAGCTATGTGGTGAATCAAGCGAAATTGGGAAATGCTAATTAGTGCCGGGCACGAGATCTGACTGTCCTGGGCACAATCTTGTCTGGGATCATGGGTGGGAACTGCTGGGGAGTTCCATACAAGAATGAAATAGCTGTTCAGTACGCTGAGGACTTCAGTGATTAGCCATCTGATTGTAGTTCGTGATGAGAACCATCCTGCAGTCAATCAATTATGGCAAAGCAAAAATTAAGTTATTTACAATGAGTTTATCTGAAGGCATACTAAGTTTCTCACAGACAAAAAATTATAGTAGACTAGGAAAAGCAAAAACAATTCGAATTTATGAGATTTTTCCCAATTTTATTGAGCATTGAACTAAAATAAGACTCAAGAGTGTTGTACAATTAGAAATATCGACACTTTGTCAGAAACGATTGTGCAACAACTCATAATTAGATAAATAATACTATTGCATGTGAATTTTAACGACCTATTCAGGGTCAAAATTGTAGGTTTAGTCTTTTGTTTTCTCAAGCGTATTCACAAAATCAGATGATGAAGTGTACATGAACTTTACCAGTCTTTCCAAGCGCTCGCCAAGATCATTGTGTGATTAAAGGGAAACAATTCCACTGTGATTCTATTTCATCACACAATAAAATTGTATTATATATTGATGCCGTTTCTAGCAGAATTTATTGGTTATAATGACACTGAAGCCAAATACGTAGGTTGAATTATCCAGTCGGAGTCAATTAAGGCAGCACAACTTAGAAATATAGCCAAACATAGTGTAGAAACTTATCACACGATAATAAATTGAGAAAAGAATTAATTCATAGTCACAGTAACCGTTTCAGATTGTAACTTTAATTGATGGAGAAAGAGACTGGTGAATAAAGCTTTATTTATCAAATCGGCATCAGATACATGCAGTATGTGGAAAATTTCTCTACTAATTAAATCAAAGAAAGAAAAACAAAAGAGCTATCAAACTAGACTACGGTAGGAACTGACTAGCCCAGGAAAAGGCGTAGTTTCTGAAATGAGTCTGGTAGCGAGTAGTTTTTTGTCACTTTTACTTCATCTGCAACTGGTTTTATACCTTGTTTGTCGATTAAGTGTCCTAAGAATTCCAATGAGCTTTTTCCAAATTAGCATCTATCAAGGTTGATTACTATCCCGTATTTGTTGAGTCGTTAGTAGGCGGTTTTCACGTGGTTTATGTGTTCTGTCTCATCTACACTAGCGATGAGTAAGTCATCGATGTAAGCAAGTAGAAAAGAGAGTCAACAGAGGATATGATGCACGACGTCAAACTTTAATTCTGTTTGGTGATAGTCATGTTGTAATGGACCAGGAAATGAGTTTAGCAGCTTGGTATACGGCGAAGCGATCGCATAAGTAACCGCTAGCTTCGTAGATATTGAGTCTGTGACGGTGCCGATAACGTAGTTTGTACTATTTGAATTAATCAGTCTGTCTTTTCGGATCAAAAAGCAAGTCATAGTGGCTTAGGTAATCAATTCCATACATCTGCCAGTATAAATGACCACTTGCAGATACAAAAACCAAAATTCACTGTCATTGTTTTTTGTCTATAAGTAACAACACTGGATTTATTTACGACTTGCAGAGATAAAGCCGTATTAGGACTGTGAGGTTCATAGTCGTTAGAAGGAATGACGATTACTTTAGCTCCCGTATCCACAAGAAACGTAATACCACTATTTTCATCTGTTACATAGAACAAGCAACTGTTGGATTTGTCAGCGTTAACGACAGAAGTCATCACAGATCACCGACTCATCCGTTTCTCAGAGAAGGTTTCATCTGAATGCTTGAAATTACATCGTAATAGACTACGGCGTGCGCGACTACCGTATTTTTTATGCTACCAACAGATATGCTTCGGCTGACAAGGTGCGTGCGATCTGTGTGGACGCGACGAACTTCTGCTATGGTTACTTTTGTGGCTTGTTGTTGATAATGACATCTGGTCATTTAGGAAGTTGACTTTTTCTTCTAATGCTTGCATTCTGATTTGAGAGTCATAGTCCTGTGTAGTGAGAGAAACAGTGCAAGGAGCAGCTCTTCCGTATGCTATCTGCGATTGTAGCGAGTCTATCAATGTCGATGTTATCGTCACCAAACGCGAGCACCTGTGGAATAGTTGCTGGCAGTCGTCGTAAGCATATCTGGTACAAAAGTCTTACCTATTCGTGACCTGCAACTAGGGACTGCATGAATCTTAGTGGTTGTAAGGGAGTTTTATCTCCCATTTCCACGTTGCTCAACAGGTGATCCAATGCTTGCCTACCAGATAATTAGATGCAGTGGATAACTGCATGCTAAAGACTGTCGTATAAAGATTCAGAGCCTGGTTTTACACTGTGTTGGCGCACTTGATCGGGAATGTCATTTGGTAGAATGGTGCTAGGAAGACCAAATCTCACATTCTATGAGGTGATCTTGTTTGCAACAAAGTAGTTTTCTAATCTGACAAACCACAATTGAGGATCTCCGAGAGTAATGATGGAACATTAAGAGGGAATGCACTGACGGATCCCGGTTCTAAATCAACACTACTACTAGACATGATAAGAATCGTGGAAACAAAAAGTGAAACCAAGATGGAAAAATATGTATATATATCCAAACAATATGCAAATACAAGTAGATTACTCAACAAAGAAGAGCGAGTTTGATTGGAATGACAGTTTGCGGAATGAGTTCAAAATGTGTATACCACTTCATAACAGATAATATAATCTACGAAAATTATGACATGCAGATTCTCAATTTGCTTAATCAGACGTCCATGTCATCACTATTGTCAGTGACCACCGCTGTGGTAACTGTGTGCGCAACGGTATTCGTTTCAAACGAGTGCCAATATGAATCGGATAAAACTAGCAGATATCACCTGTTTTTGACCAGAATGTTACAGGCCTCAACCTAACCGGCATATACCGATGGAACACATATCAACGACAGGCAAACCAATGGACAAACACTACATGATTCGAAAAGATGTAATTAATTAAGTTGTTCGTTGTTCAGTGTATATAAACAAAATTAGTTTTTAATATTAACGTGATATTGGTACATACAGTATTCGTCAAGAAAGTTGAATAACGTTACATGGGGTAGGTATACAGCACTATTCCAATACATGATATATACATCAAAAAGAACTTTAATTAAATTGTACCCCTCCACAGTACCCAAATTCTATTCTTAAATTAGTAAAGGAAAACGAATTACCTACAACAGATTTAGGAGACTACAGAATTGAAGTAGAGACCCAGAACCATGAAACCGTTTCGAACATGATCTCCGCAAAGTACGAAGTTCGATAAACAAAGTTTTACTGGAAAACATATCACGAGTCTCCCTACTCATGACACTTAGAGTTCCTACAGGAAAAGGCTTCAGCTACCTAGTCATGTGAAAATCAAATGAGGAGACAGATCACATTCTGAAGAACATTCATAGAATTAGAGCGTTTGTTTGCAAGGATTCGGCTCTTGCTGACAGAATAATATACAAGAAACAGGCGAAGTGAAATCAAGATTAGCAGCAGGGGAGAAAGATCTAAAGTAGTGGGTTTCCGTACGGTGAGCTTTCGACAAAAAACGATGCCGAAGCCTCAGTGGATAGGACGAAAACCCATTTAAGTGGTATTATCGTCTCTAACAAGTCTCTTTAACAGATGAACTGAACCTTGTAATATTATATACATAGAAAGTCTTGACATTAGTGCTATCTCAGAAACTCGGCTCTCTTCTGAGGTCAGTCACAGTAAAACACATTCACAAGGATTCGTTCCTTTTAGAAATGATAGGTAAGCACGCAAAAGTGGTTGTGTCATCTTATACGTTAAGAAAAACCTAACTGTAAAACCCATAGGCACTGCTGTACATGAAAATGGGATATGTGAAATGCTACGCTGCCGACTAAAATGCAAAGGACAACATGTTAACCTATTAACAGTATATCGAAGCCCTGAATGTGAGGCATCAGATTTCCTCCTGAATAGACTGACTCTCTGGACAGATAACTGTGAACACCTAGTTGTAGGAGACTTTAACACACTATCAGTTGACTCGGACAGATTAACAACGAAAGCATCACGTAACTCTTTTGTTCACAGGTTAGTGGAAGCATCGATTTCCTTGGCCCTCATACAGCACTTTGGTGCGGCAACCAGATATAATCAGCAGCATACTCCATCAGTTCTAGCTTTAGTATTCTCACAAACAGATGATGTATGCTTCATCCGGCACCTAGCAGCCGTTGATAAAAATCATCACGCTGTGATTATCTTTAGATTCTCAACAGCCGTCTTGTACTAGGCCAATATCCCAGCAAGACCCACTGTATGGAAGGTGAATAGGGAAGATATTAACTTGTAAGTCTCTTCAAAGGACTGGACAGTCAACCCAGAAGCCTCAGCTAAGGCTTCACGGTGCCCATTTAAACAGTTATATGCACGAATGACTCAAACGTTCATCTCACGGACTTTTCCAAAAAGACGGAAACAATATCCTCCGTAGATAAACCACGAAATTCCAATCTTCCACTGATGTAGGAAAAAGTGTTGGAGTCTTGCCACCCACCTCGGTGCTCCAGAGGTGTTGAAGCAATAGAAAAAATGGCCTGAAGCAGATGTAGTTCTGCTACCCGCGGGTCTCGAATAAGCACTG